CACCCGATCTACTTCGTTTGCCCGTCAGACCCAACATCACTGCCAGGCCATCAGGGTTTCCCAAAAGGAGGCAGGTATAGAAGTGGGACCCACCCGGATGAACCTATCCACCAGAGGTGGCGACACCCTTGACTCAATTGAGGTTCCGGGAAGAACCCCCCACACTCAAGATAACCATACCGTCCGTGCTCAGAGACAGGGATTGGTTTGGATAAGTACCTACAAACCGTTGCCCTCACACTGCGGAAAGTTACGTTGCCCTTGAGTGTCCCCGTGAGCTGCGGGTACTTGCCCGTTTTCACCTCCAGGAAAGGTTACTTCCAAAGTCGAGGATTTGCCCACTGAATGCTGGTCGCACACAACAAGCAGGCCGAAGCCCAAAGAACCACACACACAGGTAGGTTAGAGATTATGATGTACTTCCATCTCTCCTAGAGCTAAACACCCCTCCATCCTGGATAAAGGAATGTCACTGGGACCCGATGCCCAGTCGTCCATGTCTGTGGCCAACTTGAAAATGCCGATACCAACACGGAGCATTTACCTCCCCTCTGGGGGCTAGTATTTCAGAGTGAACTAATGATATTCCCCGAGCAAAGCTCGGTCCCCAGGTACTCATGACTAATACAGCATGTTGTGATTATTAAAACCTACAAACAGTTGCCAGGTAACAGCTAGTTATATTTATTTGTAAACATGGTACCTAGTTCAAAAAGTCTGACATTGGCCCACTTAAAACTACCCTTTGGGGCAGAGCCCTTTTGACGGATCTTCACCAAACTTCACTCAAACCATCCTTCCTTGAATAATAATGAAAATAAACGTCTGAAAGTTTCATTACAATCTGTCGAGCGGTTTCAAAATACATAAGGTACATACATACATGCATAGTTACTCTTTTATAGATAAAGACTAGCTGTTGAACCCGTGCTTCGCAACGGAGAGGACACTGAAGCGAAAAAAATGATCTTGAATTCTGTTGTATGAAATAATTACACATTCCCCTTTGTTTTCTGTTATTTCAAAGCGAATAACAGTAATTTTTACAATGAGTTTAATACCCCCACCGCAGCAAACCTGCAGACTATGCGAATTTCCATTTGCTTGATTGGATGTGCACTAAAATATCTCCTTTAAATATTACAAAATTATTCCCTAATTAGGTTTGCTGCAACAGGGAGGGTTTAAAAGTGTTTGATTGTGAAACGTTAATACAGTATGTAGTTAAAATTAATAGTAGTTAAAATTAACATATCTTCTTCTTGTCACGTGTTTAATTTCTGACAACAGCTGGAGTTTCATAACAATATTTGTTTCCCATGTTAATCTTATGGAGAAATACAAAACTTTAAAGGACCCTAGGGCCTCACCCTATAATTATTTCCCTAAAAAGAAAGTGTCCTGGACAACTTCACGTTACGCTCTTCCCAATGACACCAAGAACATATAAATTGGTTCAGTAGTTTCGGAGGAGTAATTGTCACAAAAAACCTGCTTGCGTATTAAATAAGTATAGATAAGTATATTTTCATAAATATTTTTAAATCAAACTATTCTCATAATCATATGGCTTTAGACTCTTGGGAGCAGAACCTGTACCTCTAAGCCTCTGCTATTTGAACTGTGAAATTATAGTATTTACAGCTGACTTCAATTAATATTTTTGACTATTTACATTCTTCAAAAATGTAAACATCGAAACTTTGGAAGCCCATGGGGCATAGCCCAAGGGAATACGATAGAAGGAATAGGCCTATATGTTAACCAGGTATATAAGCTACCTTCATACAAAATGTTATTTCAATCGGTTCAGTGGTTTTTGCGTTATAAAGTAGCAGACAGACACACAAACACACACCATCTCATTTTTATATATTAGTATAGATTAATTGAATTTTATTTAATTCTTTAACCCTTCACGGACGGGTGACGGATATATCCGCCTAAGTCTTTTGCGATAAAGAACGGGTGGCGGATATATCCGCTTATGGTTTTTGATGTTCTTGACGGAAAGTGGATAAGTTAATATATCTGCCTTTTCTTCAGACAGACTGGTAGGTGCTTTAGCAGTAACCAGATTTTTCACGGTACCAAGGCGCCACTTTCCTGCTCTCTCCATGGCTGCACTCTCTCCCGCACACCCCCCTCTCCTGTGCACCACCCGCCTCTCCTACGCTCCCCCCTCGACGTTTCGCACTCAACACCATGTTCTCTTTATTTATTGTTTACATATTGTTCTTTATTTATTGCCTCACGTTGTCATGGTCATATCTTCAAAGACAGGAGGCGGAGATATCCGCTGCTTTTCTACTCATCAGCGGATGGGTAGCGGATATATCCGTATGGTTAAAAACTAGTAAAAAATTATTTTGACAGTATGATGTGTTCCATTGTGTCTATTTTATGTATACTTGTATAACAAAACACAAATAAGGAAAACTAGTGTACCTCTTGCTCGAATTCGAGCAATTGCGAAGCATTATACAGGCGACTCAAAGATTATGGAAAAACTCACAATCTACAAAACAGTTAGATATAATCAAAATCTTTTTTAAATATCTTATCTTTTTTCAAAAAGCTGATCTTGTTTTTTTAGTGTTTTAGTTTAAAATACCCCCACTGCAGCAAACCTGCTGTCTAAGCGAATTTCCATTTGGCTGAATTGATTCTCAATCGATCTATTAAAAAAACATTAGGTTTAACGAGTGGGTACCTAGGTTTGCTGCAACAAGGAAACCAATAAAGTGTGTGTTTTAAGTAAAATAATTATTGCTTAGTAGAAAATGAATATATATGCCAAGTTTGAACAAAAGATATCCATAAACAAGCAAACTACAACATTTTACAATATTCTCCATAAGAATAACATGGGAATTTTAAATTTACAATTTTTTTAGTTTTCTCCGTAACCAATAACTGTACAAAAACACTTTGATATACTGAATTGTTTGTTTTTTTAAGCTCTTTAAGAAGGTTTAGAGAAAAATTGGGAAATTTTGTGTTTTCAGGGTCAAAAGTGAGAAAAACCCATTTTTACCCCATAAAACCCCCCATAAAACCCTGTTCCCATGGTCCGATCATGCTGGATCGCGAACTCATTCAAGTTTATCCCGCCTTACACCTTCAAACCAAATTTCATCAAAATCGGATAAAAATTACTCAAGTTATCGTGTTCACGGACACATATATATATAAATCTATATATATACCTATATATATATATATATATATATACATATATAAAAATTTGAACGAATGGTGTTTTTGGCCTCTGGGGACATCAAAATGAAAAAGTAAATCGGTCCCGGGCCTAAGTCTTACCATGAGACCTACGGTAATAGCTACTTCCCTATAGGGAAATTCGCTAAAATAACATTATTTCTATTTCTTTTACTTGGTTGTGTTCTATGACTTTTTCTATGTTTCCATTGTTTGAAAATCGGTTATTTAAATGATTGCTCAAGAAATGTAGCACAGTGTTAATTCAGTTTTTTTTTTAGCCTATATCAAATTGTCCAGGATTTCTCGCTAATAATAAGAAATAATTGTAAAAGTTACTGTGATATTAGGATTTTCCACTGATTTGGTAATAGAACATTATATTGCAAAACATGACAGATGCAGAAGAAAATCAATTTTAAAATCAGAAAAATCCATTGCAAATACTGTACTCCATTTTGACAAATTCAATAAATCACAATTTAAATATTAACAGCTGTTGCATTCAAAAGTAGTGTAGAATTATGCATATGGTCGTAATGTAAACAAATCTGAAGAGGCAACTTTAAAGGCTTCTGGGACAGAGCCCCAAGGGAATTTACCTCTTTCCTCTTTTGATGGCTCATCTACAGAAAAAGACCTTTCTTTAGAGACCCCTACGAAGTTTCTACGCCCAGCCGTTCTCTCAAATTAGCTGTGACAAAAACCCCGATTTCCTCCATAAGAATAACAAAAGGCCACGGGGGCAGAGGCCCAAGGGAATTCACCATGTTTCTCTTTTGATGGCTCATCTACAGACCAAGACCTTTCTTTAGACACCTCTACTGAGTTTCTACGCCCAGCCGTTCTCTCAAAATAGCTGTGACAAAGAAAAACAGTTTCAAATTAATATATAGATTAATTTATATTTTTTATTATAATTTTTTCCCCTTCTATGTCACGATTTCGCCTGTGCGGGAAGGGTTTTAAGACAATGACACACACTTAGGTGTGTTTTTTAGGTTAATAATAAAGGATGAGTGTAGGAATGGAGTGGATGTGATGAGATATGGACTGTGTAGCTTTCTTTACTGACTAAGGCTATAGCTGCTGTTTAGTGTTTAATAGCCAAGCTCATTTATTAAAACCCCAATGATTAAGGAAAGCTGGGTCTAGTTTCAAAACATCTTGATCCTTCAGGATTGTAAATGCTAGAACTATCGGTAGCAGTTATTGAAAAAAATATAGTGAAGTAATTAGTTCATACTGTGATGATATCTAGGAAGAATCACAACATGTATAATACAGTAGAGTCCCGCAAACTCGGCACTCGATAACCTGGCAGTCTGGATAACTCGGCCATCACCTGGCTCAGAAAATTAGTGAATTAGTCCAAGTAAAACATGGACTCAAGCCAGCTCAAGTCAAATCACTCGCAACTCGTACCAAGGATTTGTTTTACTATATCTGACGACTTAATACTGACTTGTAATATAAATATAAATAAAAAAGCGGGTTAAAAAGCTTAAAAATTCTATTGTTCTTATTTTTAACCCTAGTTCCCGATAACCTGGCATTTCACAAACTCGGCACCCTTCCAGTCCACATTACGCCGGGTTTGCAAGACTCTACTGTATCTATGTTTTACCGAGGCTGATTTTGCCATGTTCTCTTTCGACCAAAAATTTAAAACCAAGATTAACATTTTAATTGCTTAAAAACATTGTAGAAGTACAAAGAACCAAGAGATGAAAAGGATAATGACAAGTTTTTTAGCAGCAAATCATTTTAAGTCGACAACATAACTTTATATATTTTATTTTAACTTTGTGGATACAAAAATAGTTCTCCCTTGGATATAGATTTCAATGTTCATTGTTATTGTAATCACAGTCATCCAAACTTTTATTTACTTCTAGATAGTCAGACTCCAAAACTGCGAGATCATCTCTAGCTTCTATGAACTCCTCGTCTCCCATGCCTTCGCTAGTGTACCAATGTACAAATGCTTTTTTCGCCCACATCAAATCAAACTTCTTGTCCAGCTTCCTCCAAGCCTCAGCAATGGCTGTGGTGTTAGACAACATACACACAGCTCTCTTGGTAAGTGATAAGTCACTATTTACAGGCATCAAAGGGGTTTGATAAGTTATCCCAACCTTGAACACAAACAGGAATGTGATAAAACATGTAAAATAATAACCATTTCCAGTAGACCAACAAGATGCTATAGATATATTTATGTGATTTGATTTTACCCCCTAAAACTCAACAATGCAGAGTTTTAACCAAACTGTTGACATCAAACTGTTCTTAAATAACCCTTTGTTTATTTAAGATATATTAGTATATATATTTTTTTAAATATAAGATAGGTATTATATTTCTCTCTAAGAACTGGGGCTTATTATACCCTCTTGATAATGCATGGGATGGCAATTGCAAGGCAAACTTTAACCAAACCATCAAATCACATACCGGTATTGATCATAGAGATTTTTCAGCAAAATGGAAGCAGTAATAGCCAATTTGTTAGTGTTTCTCATCTGGTATCATCCATTGGTATTTCGGTAACTTTGTACAAAAAGAGTGTTAACCCAAATCAACAGTTAATTGCATACTGTATTCAAAAGAAACAAAAACAAACCTTGAATCCAGTTGGACACCAGTCTACAAAGCTGATGGTCTTTTTATTTTTCAACATCGCAATAGAAGAGTTGACATCCTTGGGGGCCACATCCCCTCTAAAGAGCATACAGCACGCCATGTATTTGCCCTTTCTTGGATCACACTTTACCAGCTGATTGGAGGTGTCAAAGCAGGATGTGGTTATGTCACTGACTGAGAAATTCTCATGGGACGATCGGTTCTTGGAGCTGAGCGGTGCGTAGGCGATGAGAGGAAAGTGGATCCTAGGGTATGGTACAAGGTTGGTTTGGAACTCGTTCATGTCCACGTTCAAGGCTCCGTTAAACCTCATTGAAGCCGTTACAGCAGATATCGCCTGGAACCAGATTAACAGAATCATATTATATACTGTAGTATCAAAAATATTTTAATTATTGCGACCATTGCAGTTGTCGGCTACTCGTTCACCACTTGAAAACACTCATGATCACCAAGCGCAGATAGCTCAGGAGGTAAGGTACTAAGTTACTACTAAGCTACTAGTAAGAGGCTCATGATGCGAAGGTACCAGGTTCAAGACCCGTCTGGGCCAAAAACTTTTTTATCGTTTTTTTTTCTTCAAAATTTGTGTTTATTAACTATTTAATCAATTTACTCAACTGATAATTAAGCTTTTCATACTAAATCTATATTATTTTGTGTTTTTTATGTTCAGGCCCAGACCACACTTTATCCCAGGGACATCCCATAGTAGTCCCATATGTCCTGAGAATGTCCTGAAGACTACCCTGGGATGACCTCGGATGTCCCACGGATATGCTGCGAGCTTATCCGTAGGACATCCCCGGGCGGGGACATTACGCATTCCTGCGGATATCCTGGGATATCCCAGGTTGACCAAAGGACTACTATGGGATATCTTGCATATCCTGTCGCAATATCCGTGGGATGTCCTGAGGAGAAAGTGTGCTGTCTGGGAGTGGACACTTGTAAATCAACATAAATTTTATCTTTCCAAAAAAGGCCCTGAATTTGCTTTACTGAGGAAATCTGATATTGTTAACAAACCTAGCAAGAAAGATTATATCCCAAGCCGTCTTTTATTGTCGGGAAAAATAATTAGAAAACTAAACTTCACCTTAGTTCATCTATGCGTTGTTTAAACTATATGCACTACTGTATGGTGTTTTGGTGCTGTGGTTTAGTTATTCACTTCCAAGAACATGGTGACTTTTTCAACATTTTACAAAATATGAAGAAACTATAGGTACTTTTAATAATTATTTTAACCAACTAGACCGGAAAGTTCATTAGTGAGAGGGATTAAAAGAGACAAAAGTCAAATTTTATTGTTGACTGGTTATTATTATCCATTCTGACCTGACCGATGATGCGGTTGAGGTTGGAAAACGATGGTCTCTCGATGTCCAACTTCTCTGTACATATGTCGTAGAGAGCCTCATTGTCCACTATGAAGGAGCAATCAGCATAGTCCATGCACTCGTGTGTCATGAGGACACTGTTGTAAGGCTCCACTATTGAACTGCTGACCTACACAAGGTGCATTATTAGCTTATAATTATTTAAATTAATTCTTGATCAGCAATGTACAAGTTATTAAATTTACAGAAAGTAAATAAATATACGTGTTATTTGAAACATATACTTACCCTTATTACTGTCAATTCAGGAAGAGTTAAGGAGTTACCCCTTTTTGCATGTATTTGTTAAATACCTTAAAACAACTTCACAAGATAAAACCTCAGTCAGGTTCAAACTTACGAGGAAATTGGTTAGCTTATCCATATTTTTTCCAGATACCAGTTGTACCTAAACATGTCACAGGCTTATGCAGAAACATGACCAATTGAGGTAAAATCTTTCTCTCAAGAGTGTGGTAGCCTCGCTGTCTATTCATATTTTATATTATAAAACCACCTCTTCTAGTGGCCCGAAACAGTTCAGTACAAACAGGGCCTCACCAGACTTGTTGGGTCCAATATGGCATCTGAGATTGAGTAAGCAATTAATAATTTACTTATTATTTAAGACTGCATGGACTTAAGCCTTAATATCGCGCTGTAATTGGGAACTATGCTTTTAATGTTGTATTGATATACAAATAAATAAATGTCACAGTACAAGATCCTACTCTATCTAACTATAGGCCTATGCAATAAAACCATTCATAAGAACAGGAATATTAACTTTTTGAAGATTAAAAAACCTCCTCATAGGTAACACATTCTACAAGCCTGACCTTAGGTGAGGGGTAGACCAAGAACTCAAGTCGGCTCTTCTTAGGGTATTCAGCTGCTAGCTGTTGGAGTAGTAGAGCAGTCAGACCAGTGCCGGTGCCTCCTCCTAAGGAGTGGTAAACAAAGAACCCCTGTAGACCGTCACAGCTCTCTGTCATCTTGCTGATGCGATGCATGATGGCGTCCCTCATGGGTTGGCCGATGGTGTTGTGGCAGCGAGCGTAGTTGCTAGCTGCATCCTCCTTGCCACTGAGTAACTGCTCCGGATGGTACAGTGCTTTGTACGGACCTGTGCGGACCTCATCTGTAACTCAATGGAGAAATCAGTTGAATCATCAGGGATGCCACTGTAAGTGTGAATTTGTATTGGTTAAAATAAGCTCACAAAAAAATATACTTCACACTTGCCTGTCCGCACAGGCTTCAAAGGCCTGTGTGCGTCAAAAGTATCCAAGACAAGCGAGGAGTGAGCAGCACAGCACTCAGGATTCAGGTAAAAGAACACATACATACAGTATATTGTTTCACCCGCTTGAATTCTAGAAGTTCAAACTACTTTGGATAGGCACTGTAGGGATAAAATAAATTACCGTACTACAATCATAATGAATTTAAGATATTGATATTTAAAAAATGTTTCATTGAAATACTGTTATAGTTAAATATTTGTGATTCTGATATATATGGTGATCGCCATCAGGGTTACCTACAATCGTTTTAAATGGAAAAACACAAACCTTGTACATGGTAGGTACCGTATGTAGTTTATGTGTTACCCTCATCAACTCAGTTTATCAAGTATTCACCAATTCACCTATGACAGTTGGCTCCAGATCAGCAAGGATAGCTCGAGGGACATATCTGTGATTCTCTGTGATGGAGAAAAATGCATCACAGCCAGATCTACAGGTTATGTCACCGGAGACCTTGTCATTTTTCAGTGTAGGTTTACCATCCTTGTCAATACCATGTTCCATGCAGTAGAGCTCCCAGCAGGGATTGGCAATCTGGACTCCAGCCTGACCAATGTGGATGGAGATACATTCCCTCCTGTCACAACTTCCAGCTCGCTAGAAAAATACATATAAATTAAATGTAGTCTATTATTAGATGGTACAGGGGAGTGGAAACTTAATTATATCAGTGTACTGTAGTGCAGGCCAAATTATAATAAATACAATTAAGAATTCTTTGACTTAAACAATGGTTGATCAAGACTATATGATACACAAGGATCAGTGTTTCTACTTTCAGATTATGTTATGGGATGATGTATTGTACAAGGAGGATTCCAATATATAAAGCGCTTGCGTTTACTAATATCACTAATCTATCAGATTTTACATTGTTTCATGGATTAGGTAGGTACACTAAATATATAATACACTATGGTACATAAATATAACACTACAGTATAGTTGTATTTATAAAAACTAAATTCTTACTCTTTGCTATGATTGTGACAACAGACATCCCTAGTATAACATTTGTAGAATCACCCTGTTATACAGTACCTAGAAAATCATCATTGTAGGTTGCCTGATTACATTATCATTAAAAAGAGGGGACCATAATAAGGCAATGCCTCCGTAGACACATTTTTCCTGGATGTCTGTCCACCTCTAAAGGGAACTGATTGTTCAAATCTAACTCTTTTTCCTCATATGGGAATCTCTTGTATTTGAGAAGGTGTTGAATCTTTATCGTTATCATTCATCATTATGGAGCCTTACCTACTTTCACATATTGCCTGAGAATAAAGGAGACAAAGGATAGGATAAGCAGGCTAAAAGACCGTTTAAATTGTGCCTATTACTTACTGTATTTGCCCCTCATCGGCCTCATCGTATGATCTTATGAACACAAAAGTGCAAAAAGCTATAAAATTAGTTTTCTTGTTGGATAGGCTACATACAGAAAGATACAGTAAATAAAAAGTTGCAAAATGTCAGATGGGTGCAATTAACTCACAAACAATTCACCTGTCACAACCACCGTTTATTTTAAATGAACCTCCACCATCAAGCTGCACTCTCAACCTGATAGAAATATGATAAAACTCTTGATCTTTATCGTCTCCTGCCTGGGAGACAAAACTTATAAGACCGTATTGTCATTGATCGAGACCTAAAAGTCTGCCGCAATAACAATACTGGTAAACCCAAAGCCCAAACAGTGATATTTTAAAACTCAAACTCAAGGTGCTTAGCCCATGTCAGATTCAACTGACGCACCCCGGGTTTTTAAGCTAGAAACGCAAATTCAACTAATAAAAGTATAGAATGTTGCTATAGAGTCCATTCACAAAGTTTAGGCGGTTTAAGGGGAAGATTTCCTGTGTATCCCCACCACTTTTTTTAGCTTAATGTTTATATAAGCTGATCCAGCTTTCGGCTGTTATTTCATAGTTATGGTGAAGTGGGTCGAGGGGATGGAATCTCTTACCCTCAAACCGCCAAAATTTTGGTGCCTGGATTATAGTGTACCTACAGTTTTAATTTCAATCATAGTTTTGCTGTAGACAACAATATTGCCGCGCATAAATTATTTAAGTAGGCCTACTAAAAATGTGTTTCTTTTCATGGTCACACCTGTATAAACTGTGCAAATTGTTTTGTTTAAACTAGTTCAAAATCGTCATGAAGATTGTTGAATTAAATAAGTACGGTAGGTACCTCCTTGTTAACGTTTTTGTAGAGAGACGGTGATTTTTGTTGGGGTGCCTATGCCTATGCTTGCAAATATATAGAAAAAGTGAGGGTTTGATCGTGTTACTCTAGATGGACAAAATAATGGCCTGTGGTGTTCAGAAGATTATGTCTGTTTTCAAGACTGTAAAACTAAAGAAATAAAAGTTTTAACTGTTCAGCCTCCGGATAACTGTATATTTAAAATGGTTTACGATATCCGCATTTTTCCTTGGTAGCTGTACAGGAGTTGTGGCTCCTTATCAGAACCATCATCAGGTCTACTAGACTTTACTTCAGTCGTCTTATTTGCTTTTGTCTATAACCTTTGTTTATTTTGTGTTTTTTTAAGTATCCATTTTATTTTACTGTATCTCCTGTGTATGTTATTTATTTAACTCTGTTGACAAACTTCAAATGAAGTGACTACTGACACCTTGTACTTAGAGCTTGTGATGGTTCTGATAAAGAGCGGAAACTAGTAGCTAGTAGCCACTACTACAGTAACCAAGGTTTACGATAGGCTACTATATGCATGCAGATATCGTAAAAAATTTTAGAATAATAAATAATCAACTGGATAATCTCTTCCTGAGATATGTTGACTCTCTGTTAAGTAGTAGCAATATGACAGGAAATTTGTTTTTAATTGTTGAACAATTTTAAATTTAGTTTTTGCAGGGCTATGATTTAGATGTCTAAACTTACATGGATGGGGCATAGTCACACAAAATAATACACATAGTCACCAGGGACGTAACTAGGGGGGGGGGGGGGGGCACGCGGGGCATGAGCCCCAGGCGCCAGTTGTTGGGGGCCAACACAGGCACAGATTTTTCAAAAAAAAATTGTTGAAAACATTTTTAATTCGTCTTGTGTTGCAATATATTTTTTTATTTTTATATTAGTCTAAGAAAGTAAAAAGTGAAATGATGTATGCTATCTGACTGTTACTATACTGTTTACAAATCATGTCAACGGTCCGTATGAACTTGTACGGAGCGAGTATGAGGATGAGCATACTGTGTTGTCTGTCTGTCGTCGATGAGTCACTAGGTTGGCGCCAATCTTTTTTAAGAAGATTTGTAAGGAATTAGTTTCAGTCCAATCGAGGGGGGGCGCCAAAATAGGTGTTTGCCCGGGTGCTGAATAGCCTAGTTATGTCCCTGATAGTCACACATTAATAGTCTCACTTGTGACTATTTAAAGATTTATGTAAATTGTTTAAATACTTACATTATATTCCATTTTCGTGCAAAGAGAGATTGAAGACTATAATTAATTGATAATAGTACTTATAATTTAGTTAACAAAAAATTTTGATAACAAAAATTTAAAAAAAGTGTTAAGTAACTGAAATTTTTAAATTGGTATAACAATGAGTGTTTGTTTACATTGCAACAGGTGTTTTTCTTTTTGTGTATTTAACTGGTCTAAAAGAAAGTTTAAGAGCACATGATTACATAACTCTTATTGCATCGATCAAACCTGTGTACTCTAATTAGTAATTACCCATTATATTATAGTTTCAGTTAGTAAAAATATATTACCTACCTGAAAAAAACACTAATTTAATTCACTCTTCATTTCGATTTTCTATAAGTGTCTATCAAAACAAGGGTATATTCTAAATAAGTACCTAACAGTTTCAAAGAATGTTTAAGCTTTTTTAAAGGTGTGCTTTGATTTGTTCTAAGCATGTTTTAAATCTTTGTCTGTGGGGGACATGGCATTACTATTACTCCAACCTATCCACCTATTACTCCAAAGACTGGTTTGTCCCTTTCCCCTAAGGTAATCCTGTGGGTGCCTATGCTGGATAGTGCGATGAGTATTTCAGAATCTGGAATACTTGTTTGTGTCTATGCTCTTTCCCATGGTCCAAATAACATGTTCTTGAAGTAACTAGTATTTTTCTGAAGATTGTAGAGAATGTCCTTCCTCAGATGATCCCTCTTATTGAAACTTTAACCCCTTTTAATGTCCCGTTCATTGCTTCATTGCTATTGTCATTGCTTCTATGTCACATCTAGTTAGCACATGTTTCAAATTGGCAGAAATTATGCTTAAGTTTGTTATTTTACAGCTTATTTGTGTCATATATTTGCAACAAGTGGTCTTTAGTACTGAAATTAGCTTGGCATGGCTTTCAAGATATGGAGATCATAGTTGCATTCAATTTTATGCTCAGTCATACAGTTTATACGAATGTCGACAGAAATATGCCGAGTGTCATACAGAAATATACGAGCCATCGTTTGATTTTTTCCCCAAAAGGTCAATATAGGAAGGGTAGTATGCTTGTTTTCTACCATTGAAAACAGAAAAGAAGAAAATGTTAAGCTATTATACAACGCTCCTCAACTAGGAGAACCAATATAGCAACTTTTATATGTTTAAAAATAAGCTAAATATAGGGCCTACATTTTTTTATTTAAGTTAATTTAATAATTTTTTTATACTTTACAATATTTCAGATTTTGACAAAAATAATGTCCATAAAAGGTACACATTACTTCTCTTTGGGTACACATAAATACATATCTCCTTGTTCTCCATTAAATTCTACAACTTTTTGTAAAGTTACAAGCCAAAAGCTTGAATGCAGTTACAATATTAAGAGCTATCAAAAACTAAAAAAATTTGGATCTTCATTTCATTGTAAATATTAGATTTTTCATCTGATTTTTCTCAGTCATACCCAACATGCTTGCTCAAACTAGTAATGAAATCTCTTTGAAATTTAATATTTTATCTAGCAATACTAGTGTTATCATCCCGGTCAATTTTCAATCTAGAGGTCAAAATGTTCAACAGATACACTGAAAACCCAAAATACCTATTTTTACATATAAATAGAAAAATTGTGAGTTTAGAAACTATGCTTGTAGGAAATTTTTTTTCTAGTTTTGACATAAGGAACCATTTCCCAAAATTTATCAGGGTTCCCTTGAAACACTAGTTTGGAAGAGAGATATCTTCAGGTTCAAAGGTTGTAGACAGGATATTTCACTGCTTTAGAAAGCATTTTCAATTAAGGGTTGACTTGGAAAGAGACATGTCTTGGTGTAAAAGAAATACATTTTATCATTCTTCAGCAGGAGTGGACCTTTACCCTTTCATGCAAGCCTGCTATCTTAACAAAAATCTGGAGATACAACAAGTGGCTCTTTCTGCTTGCTTGATTATAAGTTTGGCGTATAAGATCCATCAGCAGTGCAGTTGGAGGCTCACTTTAAATATGCTTGTTTTCATTCCAAATTTGTCTTCAACTTTAAACAGAAATTGAATATATATCAGTCCATCCAATCCACAGTGAAAATGTCTGTCTACGCTTCTTGAACAGCAAAATAATAATTCCTGTGGCATGTTGACAGTAAATATATGTTTCCATAGAAATCACTTATTTAATTCTATCACTGATCGACTCAGTAAATGAACAAAAGATAACATTTTTCCTCCTGTTCCAAAATCTGCTCAAGTTCCAAAGAATCTGCTATGGGAAAATGTTGGAGGAACATGATGAAATGTGGGAGACGAACGGAACTATGGAGGATAACTGATATGAAACTTCAAGAGGAAGAAACTATAAAGTTCTGCAACAACACTGTGAACTAATTAAAGACAAGTTAGGACAGACAGGAACAACTGTATGAATTAGAAAATATGTGTTAGTATGTATCTAGTGTTAACATCTAGTATAAGGCATCTTGTATCTAGTGTTAAGTATCTTATGTATCTAGAAATAAAGTATTTCACGTACTAATAACCATCCCAAGTGAGGTAGCATCGTAATAATGATGCTGTTTCACATTTGGGAGATTTGAATATCAGGACTTACTGTGGTCCTAATTTTGCTTGGTTTAAAAAACTCTAAATATAGGTACGTGCTGTGCTCTTCCATTAAATCATTTAATCCACAACAATTATAAACATATCTTTTTATTATTACTCTTACCCTTGCTTTTAAAACCCCCTATTCATATTATATGGAGAAAGTATTGTTTTTGTAAAAATGAGTTTGATAAAACAGTTTTCTCCATAAAAACCCATAAAATAACAGAGAAAATTTGTTCAAAAACTGTTTTGATAGAAATTTGGTATGTTATAGTACTTTAAATTCTGGACAAAACTGTACAACTGTCATTCCTGTAAGAAGTGTGGTTCAAAAGTTATTGTAACTTATGTTATTTTCCCATAAAAAACCCATAAAAATCTGAATAAATAAAAATATATTAAAATAGAAAATATGATTTTTGAACAAATTCGGTTTTCATTGAAATTACTGTGTTCTGGTCCTTATAATTCAACATTTATTTTAAAGTTTGCACAAAATAGTGCAACCTCATTGCTGTAAAAAAGGTGTGATGATGATCAAGTTTGTTGACAAGCGAATAGGAGAAGTATGTGTCAGATGATACCGTTTATTATTCTTTGTGTTTTAAAAATAAGCTTAGGTTCAAAAACATCACTTGCCTCTGCAGATAAATTCATCTATCTATCTATACTAGTGCACCTGTTGCTCGAATTCGAGCAATTGCAAAGTATTACAGGCGTTATTTAAAAATGAATAACATCATAGACTAACCAACACTAAGGGAGTATGTTTTATCTATGATAACAGTCATAATTTCCGATGACTTAAAAGAGTCAACTCAAAGATAATGGAATCAATCACTCCACTCCAGTTATCGAAACTAAAAACGAACTCACTCTGAAAACGAACGCTCTTGTGTGTATCATGTTTTTACTATGAACAGCTGTAATTAATATAAATTATTCGTCTGTGTAAGTAAATAAAATCTTTTCTTCGTAAGAAATGCATTGGGATTTTGATGGCCTGTGGGGCAAAGCCCGAGGACTTTTATTACAGGAATTGGCAAAAGGGGGCGTCTAAACAAAAGATACTTAATTTTGACATATCGTTTGTAAAAATCCGTCCATTATTAACGGAGGAGTAGTGTTTCGTAGAAACGGTTTACGTTTTGAAGATATATTAAATTGAAAACTCTCCCCCATACATTTCTTATGGACGTTTCGTACTTTGAAGATTTTTAAAGACATTTTTTCTTATATGTCCAGTTCTTATCAACGCTTGCAGTTCAGTATAACCTTTAAATATTCTGGGATGTAAGGGCTTTCATTTCACCCATTGATCATTCAAATTGAATGGGTAAGCGACGAGCTACAATTCCCAAAACAATGTTAAATTTAACTTTTTAGAAATCTTTTTTATTAAAAGATTTATATCTCGAGTTGTTAATACGTCACCAAGTTCTTTCTGATTTTGAATTACTTAGTAAATGTTTGGCTTTAATTTTATTAATCACTATATAAAATCTGACAAATCTAAAGTGAGTCATGAACCTTCATTTAACATTAAATTATTTTTGTTAAGAAATTTGTCTTTGGTTTAAGACATAGTATGAACCAATTATAAATAACAATCAATAAGTAATCTTTATCCAAAATAAAAGTCAATAATTTGACGAATTATTTAAGACTATAAAGAGTTTTTGGAGTTATTTATAATTGGGGATATATGTATTTAACTAAAGACAAATTTCAAAATAAAAATAATTTTATGTTAATTGAAGGCACACAACTCATTTTAAATTTTTCAGATTTTATTGAATGATTAATCAAATAAACGCCAAACATTAAATGAGTAATTTGAGACCACAAAGAACTTGGTGACGTATTAACAAGTCAAGGTATAAATCTTTTAATAAAACAGATTTCTAAAAAGTTAAATTTAATATTGTTTTGGGGATCGGAGCCTGTCTCTAATTCGTTCGATTTGAATGATCAATAGCTCAAATGAAAGCCCTTACATCACAGAATATTTAAAGGTTATACTGAACTGCAAGCGTGGATAAGAACTGGAGATATAAGAAAAATTATCTTAAAAAATCTTCATAGTACGAAACGTCTATAAAAAATGTATGGGGGAGAGTTTTCGTTTGAATATACAGTATCAGCGTGAAAATCTAGTTTGTACCGCTGGACAGATTGTAATGAAACTTTCAGGCATTTTCATTATTCAAAGAAGGATGGTTTGAGTGAAGTTTGATACAGATCCGTTAAAGCCAATGGGGAGGGTTTTAGGCGGCCCAATGTCAGACATTTGGAACTACAATGTCTACAAATAAATATCATTTAAAAACAGATGTTTACTTTCACCATATCTGCTTTGTAGTTTTGAATAATCACAACATTCTGTATTAGTCAGGATTTGAAATAATGGCACACCGTTACCACAGAATGCAGCACAGAAAACTATATTACTTTTGGATAAGTCCAAATATATTAAACCCCAATATACAGCACACCCCCAACGCATTCAGCAACGTTTCAATGCTTCACCATTAAATATGCAGATC